CCTTGGTTTCTGATGGCTCCCGCTGCAGGAGCCAGGCTGAGCTGCCACCGGGCTCAGAGAGGTGTGACACTAGCTCAGAGGCCAGGCCAGGGCCAGGCACTGGTGAATCAACACCTGGAATGAGGTGGCTCATTAAAGGCCCCCGGACAGACGGACGCCAGCGCCTGCAGGACGGGTTCTGGGCGGCGGCAGACACATTCTTCGCCTCTCAGACCTTTGTTGTATTTTGAGGGGGCGAGAGCCAGGGCCTCTCCCGAAACTTCAGTGCTTTCATACGAGCCCTTACGTGGTCACGTACCCCCACTTGCCCATGTCCCACCCATCCTGGGAGAGGGGCTGAGGGCAGCAGCCCTCCTGCCTGTGCCCTTGGCCCCTCTCTGCCCCTCTGGTCTGGGGCCGCAGGGCACAGAGGCCTCACTCGTGGTTCTGAAATCCTAAATCAGCCTCCCCCACCCCTCTCTGAAGCTCACTCTTCCTTTCTGTCCTAGGTCTCTTGATTTTTCCTTCCAAAGCTTGGAAAATGTCCCTAGCTTGTGGATTTTAAGTACATAGCTTAGGCTCTTTGGAAGAAAAACACTGACTAACTTGAAACATTAGACCGTTGCCCCAGCTCTGCTGGCTCTTCCAGCCCCATCTCCTGTGTCCCTCAAGAGCACTCGTCCTTGTCCTCTCTGGTCAGGACTAGGCCTGCGGTCGGAAGCCAAACCTCCCCGTCCCCGTTCAGTGTGAGGTGTCCGCCCGGGGAGCGGCACCGTAAAAGGGCTGCCAGGTATCGGTGCCGCCACCACTGCTGGAGGGAGCCCAGCCCGACTGCGCAAGAGCAAGCGGTCCCTGCTGTGGGGGAGGGTTGTGGAGCCTGGCAGGCCTCTGAGACTGTTCCGCCTGCATCCACCTGCTGCTCCCTGACCTCCTCCTTGTTCCACCCACCGGCCCATTTGCCTCCGGAGCTGGTCTGGCTAGGTGCGGGGAGCCTGGAGCCCTGATGAGCTGCAGCAAGGACCAGCCAGCCCACAGGAAGAAGGGGCTGGGGCCACCCAAACCCCAAAGCCAGCAGCTAAATCTGCTTGGAGCAGCTCAGACCACTAGGGACCCTTCTGGGCCAAGGATGAGTGTCAAAGAGCTATGCCTGGGCACAGGGCCTCAGTTGGCAGAGAGTGGACGGGGCCTGGAATCCAGAGGGACTGGCCCAGGTGGGGCAGGCAGACAACTCTAGAGGGCTAATTGGCAGGGCAGCTGGGGCCTCCCAGTTCCGCTAAGACACAAATTACTCAGCGGGCAGTGGCGCTTGGCTGGCGTCACCTGCAATTACCTTAATAGGGCGTGAGGGAGGTACAGCGTGTGGTGGGTTGGGGGCAGCCCCACTCTGCTGCATGCCTGCAAGGGGAGGCTCCAGGTTCTAGCCAGCTCACTGCCAGGGAACCACCTAGAAACCCCACTGGATCCTCTATTCTCTACCATGGCCTTCACCTGGATATTCTCTCCCTAGTCAGCCTGGGCTTCTGCCCACCACAGCCCTACCGAGAGCCGGAACCATCAGTGGCCGAACCCCCTTCCTACCCGCTAGCTTTGGACATGAGCCTTCGGGACGCCAGCTATAGTGTAGCCCCTGCACCTTGCGTGGTGGCCCAGCTGCCCTCAGAAGACATGGGCCGCCTGACAGACCCCCAGAGCAGAGACCACGGCTTCCTGCGCACCAAGATGAAGGTGAGGACTCTCACACTGTCTCAGAGGACCAGGAGCTTGTGTACACCCATGTCCAGCTCATGAGATGTGGCACAAATGAGACGTAGACAGAGACTGACCTGGGACCGGGGCCAAGGTTTCTGTAGAGAAGTGAACTTAGCCGGGGCACAAATGGGGGAGGAGAAAAGAAGTAGGTCTGAAGTTCTCCAGAGTCCATGGGTGGTTCAGTCTAGTTTCTGCCCACAGGAGGCCAGAGGAGCCACAGGACGAGCTTATCCTCTTGACACAAGTTCTAGGCTAAGCAGTCAGACATGAGCCGGCTCAGCTCTGCCTCCTTGGCTCCTGCCTGTGCCGCGCTGAGAGAGAGATCTGGAGTCAGGCACAGTGGTTAACTGTCCCCTGAGGCACATGCCAGCGATCACCTCGCCCAGGTCTGTTGTGCCCAGCACCTGCCAGCGTCCAAGGCCTGGCATCTAGGGCAGGGCCTAGACGAGCAAACCCCCTGCATTCAGCAGCACAAGCAACGAGGAGGACTCGAGGCGGCAGAGAGCACAAGCCACAGGGCTGGCCCTGGCTGAGTCTGTGTTCCTGAAAGCTCCAGGATCCAGGAGCTTCTGCCAGCAGGGATCTAGCAGAAGGGTACTCCTCACAGCACTGTCCTATGTGCCAAGAGACTGGCAAGAACTGGCAGTGGAGTGCTGGGCCCTTCTCTGCTGCCTGCGGAGGCCAAGTGTGTGTGGAAACTGTGGGGGATGGCTGAGACGTGTGCTGTGTGGCTGGCTAGAGCCACCTGATGCTCACGGTCCCCTAAGCCACCCTCGGGCCCTTCTCCCACTCCCTGGACTTTGGGTAGGGAGGGCATGGAGCAAGAACAGAAGGGACAGGACAGCAGGCGAGCTGGGCAGTGAGTCCTGTTCCCAAAGGCCTTGACTAGGTACATTCAAAAGCAGGACAGAGTGAGGGGTAGTGACCGAGGTGGTGTGGAGTGACGGGTGCTGGGATTGTAGGAGTTGCCAGTGATGAGGCCACCCTCACAATGTACAGGCAACCTCCACAATGTTAACAGAGGTGGAGCATCGAGCACGTCACCCTGTGCTGGTCACACCTGGAGAGCTGCTGCAACTGTTCTGGGCAGCACACTTTCAAAGGTGTCTGGTGGCATCCAGGATTTGCTCCAAATAATCCCAGGCCAGGGGGAAGTAGGGAGGCAGAGGTGACATAAGATCGGTCCTGAGTGACAGGGCACAGGGCTCATGCTGTTAGTCTCTGGTCTCTCCACTTCAGTACACGTTTGAAGTTTTCCATAATTAAAAAAAAACAAAAGCCTTCCTAGGTAAGAAGGTCCTCAGGGTGGCAAAAGGGCTCAGACTGTGCCATGCAGGCCTGGCTCAAGTAAAGCGTGAGCTGGGCTGGCCTGGGACGGGGCTCCAGGCTCTCTGTGGTGCCCCGGCCTGCGATGCCCGCCGCAGAGACTGTGGCATGGGCATTTCCCGTCCTGAGGGGAAGAACAGGGTGGATGCGAGCAGGAACTACAGTCAGATTTGGCCTCTGTTAAGGGGAACTTCTAACAGGGAGAGTTGTTGAGGATGAAATAGCTGCTTTTGCAGGTGGTGAAGGAGGGCCTGGTGACAGCCTTGAAAGGGAACTCGGGGACCCAACTGGAAGCTGTACCATGACCCAAAGGTTCCTCCCACCCCCACACTGCTGACCTCTGGGCAAAGGCACAGAGCTTTTGCCTCTAGAGGGTGGACACTGCTTTCCTCAGGGGGACTGGGGCTGGCGTCTGTGTCTTCCTGTCTGCCAGCCTGCAGCCCCAGCTTCTAGATGTATGTCACAAATACTGTCCTCACCCACAGGTGACCCTGGGGGACAGTCCCAGTGGAGACCTCTTCACTTGCCACATCTGCCAGAAGGCCTTCACCTACCAGCGCATGCTGAATCGCCACATGAAGTGTCACAATGACGTCAAGAGGCACCTCTGCACGTACTGTGGGAAGGGCTTCAACGACACCTTTGACCTCAAGAGACACGTCCGGACCCACACAGGTAAGCGGAAGCCCGAAGCTATCGGGGTGGTGCTCCGACACCAGGAGGGGACACAGCAGACCTGCCTAGCTCAGGCACATAGATTCCAGCAAACCCTGCTTTCCCTTGGTGAGGGGCAGCCCAGCAGAGGCACTGGAGCTCAGAGCAGAAGTCCTCCCAGTTTCATCTGTTAGGACTTTGGATTTGAGAGCCACTTGGGAACTTGGCAGTGGACAGGCCTCTGTCCATCCCTCTGCCCTAGAGTCAGCTATCCCGTCCTTTGTGTACGGAAGCTGCCGACAGGTTCTGAGGTCCCTGTCAGGTCTCTGATGCCAGCCCCTGTCCTCCCTGCAGGCGTGCGGCCCTACAAGTGCAGCCTGTGTGACAAGGCCTTCACTCAGCGCTGCTCCCTGGAGTCTCACCTCAAGAAGATCCACGGTGTGCAGCAGAAGTACGCATACAAGGAGCGGCGGGCCAAGCTGTATGTGTGCGAGGAGTGTGGCTGCACGTCCGAGAGCCAGGAGGGCCATGTCCTGCACCTGAAGGAGCACCACCCTGACAGTCCGCTGCTGCGCAAGACCTCCAAGAAGGTGGCCGTGGCCCTGCAGAACACTGTCACTTCCTTGCTGCAGGGCAGTTCCCACCTGTGAGTGGCACAAGCCCCAGGGATGCTCCCGGAGGCCCCGTGGGGGTCCAGGCTTACCTCCCTGCTGCCCAGCCGGTCCACTCCTGCGGCCTCTTGCCCAAACACCGGTGATCAGGACTGGAGCTCCCACACCTCAGCACCCGTCCCCGGGCACACGTGCTCACTCGGGCCCAGCAATGACCTCTGCTCATTTTTGCAATTTTAGTTTATGGGCACAGGCCGCTCTGAGCCTGGGAAGACGTGTGTCTGTTTTGGGGAGGGGTGAGGCCAATGCTGCCTTCGGTTAGAAGCAGCTGCCTTCAGAGGCCAGCACTGTTTCCTGGCAGCAGGACTTCCTTCCCAGAGGAGATACGAGACAGGATCCTGCTGCCCTTGCCTCTGAGCGCAGGGCAGGGGCTGTGGGTCCCCAGTGGACAACGAGAGTCAAGAGCACTGGCAAAGGGCGACCCCGAAAGCAACCGTGGTGGGGAGCTGGTGACAGCCCACCCACCCACAGGGCTTCTAATGCTCAGGGTTCCGGGGGGGCTCCGCCCTTCTGACACGGAGAGGCACACGTGTGCGCAGCTGTGTGTACGCGTGCGCATGTGTGTGCCTGTGCACACAGGAGGCCTTCCCACACATCACCTCATCTTTAAGAAATCATCTGCAAGGTGCCAAGGAGGTTTTATTTCCTTTTTTAAAAGATGACAATGTACAGATATTAATATATTTTTGGTGCCACTGGCAACTGTTTTTAAGAAGGGATGGAGCTGGCTTTTCTCCAGTCCCATGCAGTTCTATTTATCCTGGACATTTCAAACCTCCTCTGTGCCTTGGCTCTGGGGGTGGCTGCCCCAACACACCCCCTGTTCTTTGTCCCTCTGGAGATATTTAACCGAAGACCTTCCCCTAGCCCTGCCCCGGAGGATGGCTGCTCCATCTTCCCTCTGCCCTCCTGGCTTCTGCCCGCTCCCCGTCCTTTCCAGGCGAGCCCCAGGTGACCTGAGGAGCCTGCTCGCTTCCCGATGACAGACCACAGACCGCTTGTGGAGTAACTGGCCATTCCGAGGCTGAGGATGTGTACCGCTGGGGCTTCGGGGGTCAGCCGGGTGGCATGATTAGTCTCTGACACCAGTCCACTGCCTGAAGTACAAGATACATGCGGGGCCAGGCTGGAAGGCCAGCCCTTTTCCTGTATGAGTCAACAACTCTAGCACAGCAGCAAAATATTAGCGCAGATAAGAACCAACACATCAGAAACTTCCAGAGGGTGGAGAGTATTAATATTGATGGTTACCAAATCTTATTTGTAGCTTTTTTACTGACTGTTCTTCACATGGCCAGGTCGGGGTTTTGACCGTGGAAAGAGCCGTCCTGGGCTGGCTGGCTCCCTTGGCGCAGCTGGGTGTCCTGCTGATACCAGGAAGGGGGCGTCTAGAGGAGTATGGTTTTGGGGGGTCAAAAGGAAAGACAGGTGGGGTTAGAGCCAGCCTGCCAGAGAGCAACGGAGGCAAGTGAAAGGCCCACACCACAGCTGGGTGCACAGCCCTTGAAATCAAGCCCCATCCCAAGCAGGAGCAGCCTTCGCCTCCAGTGTCTGCATAGACCCCGGCTCAGCCCCAGCCCCCAGCTGACCGGAGAGCGAGAAGCCTTCCTGGACTGCCCTCTGAAACGTATGGAGAGTGTTTCTGAAACTCTCTTTCTACTTCACTAGATGGGGAGCTGCTGTGTTCTGAAAGTTACCTAGCGTAAAATAACATTATCTGGAAGCTCTGTTTTTGTTTACATTTCTATATCCATGGGTTCACTGCCAGTCTGAGGCAGTCATGAGGCTCTGTGTTGTCTGTTTTATTTTATAATCTTCCCCTAACTATTATATTAAAATCGGAGAACTAATGTTTTCTGTGGGGTTTTATTTGGGGGAGGGACCTCCTCTTCCTGAGAAGGGAAATTAATCAAAACAACTGATAAGGCCGGGCGCTGTGGCTCACGCCTGTAATCCTAGCTCTTGGGAGGCCGAGGCGGGCGGATTGCTCAAGGTCAGGAGTTCAAAACCAGCCTGAGCAAGAGCGAGACCCCGTCTCTACTATAAACAGAAAGAAATTAATTGGCCAACTGATATATATATATAAAAAATTAGCCGGGCATAGTGGCACATGCCTGTAGTCCCAGCTACTCGGGAGGCTGAGGCAGAAGGATCACTCGAGCCCAGGAGTTTGAGGTTGCTGTGAGCTAGGCTGACGCCACGGCACTCACTCTAGCCTGGACAACAAAGTGAGACTCTGTCTCAAAAAAAAAAAAAAAAAACAACTGATGCATTCTATCCAAACTTTCCCCTTTGTGTTACCAGTGGGCTAAAGTCAGGACGAGAACCTGACCCTGACAGATTGGATGACCTGCCCGGGGTCTCCGGCAGTCAATGCCTGCTGACCCCTGGTGCAGCCAGCTCTGCCCTTGGTGGCGGCAGCAGCAGGGCCCCCCCTGCTCTCTTTGTCCTGACTGACGGACACCACCAGGCCAGAAGCCTCGGGGCTCCCCACAGTCACTCTGGGTTTCAGACTTGGCTTCTCTCCCCAGCACCCTGCCAGGGTTGGACCGTAGGAGGAGCCGTGTTCCCAACAATAGGAGACAAAGTTCATGTCACTTCCGGTCAGACACCCAGGGATGGCCACACTTGCACAGCACTTGTGTGCCAGGCACACTTAAAGTGCTCTGTGTGTACTGGCTCACTTGACCCTCCGTCGGCCTCTGAGAGTTGGTGCTGTTATCACCTCCCACCCAGCAGAGAGAAGTTAGGTGGCTGGCCCAGTGTGTCACGACTAACTAGTGGTGGAGCTGGGACACCAACCAGACAGCCTGGCTCAAGGTCTGTTCTTGGAAGCTCCGCACATAACTGCCGACAAGAAACCAGGGGGGACAGAGCGGGGCAGCCCTGGGCCATTCACACTAGGAGGAAATGTGCAGATTGCCTGGCCTTCCCATCACTTACCCAAGATCACTCTGGGGCCCCTGGTCCCTGCCTCTAGTTCAGTGTTCTTCCATCACGCCGGCCAGATGCACGAGGAGGAAGGGGAGGTGGAGGAGGAGGAGGGTTACCAGGCCTGGGCCACTGGCGTTATGTCCCGGCAGGCTAGAGAAGGGTTGGCACCCGTGTGCTGTGAGGAGAAACGAAAACATTGATCTGACCTTCCCTAGGGCTCCCTGTGAGAAGCCCAGAGGATTGGAAAGGGCCCCTAACCCTCCTGTCTCTTTAAGTAGCCAGGCCAGGAGGATTTCTCTTATCTAGAGAAGCCTCCTGTGAAAGGCCAACCAAATCCCATTTTACTATCCCAAGCTGTGCAGAGCCCATTGTTAGGAACTCCATAATTAACTGCTACGTGAACTTCAGCAGGAGAAGGCATGCGCTTCAGGGGGCGCAGGGTTTCTCAGGCTCCCCTGGGCCGCTGCTCTTCCACCCAGATGAGCTCAGGTAGGACAGGAGGCCTGCCCTAGCAGGGCTGGGCCAGGCACATTCTGAGGGTCTACGATCTGCAGACTCTGTGGGATGGGAGCTGTGGCAGAAGCAAGAAAAGTCCAGGGCGACAGGCCCTCTGCTGAGTGGGAAGTAGGCTCTGACCAGGAAGAAAGAGATTAATTCAAGTCAATATCTAAGGAATGTCCTTTGTCAAAGGTGTGGCCAGACTACAAATGCTATGGAACCCAAAAAAGAGTCTTGCATCTGAAAGAACAATGGCTTCTTGGAAGAAGTGGGGCTGGAAGAGCCTGAGGATCTGAATAGAACAGAGGAGGAAGGAGGGAAAGGTAGGATCAGGCACCAGCGGAGGCGTGGCGATGGGTGGGCAGAGGCCTCTCTATTTCCACTAACAGTCAGGATACCTGCTTCACCCAGGTAGTCACACCACAGGCATCCTTTGAGCCCTGCCTAGGCGCCAATAAGAACAGAGAGCATACAGAATGTTTGGGAATGCCTAAAAAAAAAAAATAAATAAAAGAGAGCAACAAGATTATGAGACACAGGACAGCTGGGTGGGATGAAGGTAGAGTCCTCTTTTTATACCTAAAACCAAAGCAACCAGGGTGGGGCAAACTTTACAATAACAGTAAGGGCTACTAAGCTTTATGTTCTATATTTGCATGTATTTTCTAGTGTTTTTTTTTATAATGAGTATATATTATTTTTACAATCAGAACAAAATAAAGTTATAAAACAATTTAGCGGTTTCAGTTGACTTGAAGTTCAACACATCAACAGTAAGATCCACGCCCCCCCAAAATAACTAAGATGATGGGTGGTATCAGAAGTGTGGCATCCACAGCGGAGGTTGCCTCCCTCTGCTCCGGGCCACTCACCAGAGTCAGTGGTGGCAGGGGAAGAGCAGAGGCCTCAAATCGGCAGCCTGGCAAGTGACAACCTCTCAGTTTCCTCATCTGTAATACCAGGTGGGTTCCTAAGTTTGAAAGTCCCTCTCTGCTATAAGACGTTATGTGTCTAGGCCCCACCTCCATAAAAACCCTTGAAGAAACTTGCTGACAAAGTGGCAGAGGTGAGAAGGCTGAGGACTGAGGATCGTCCAGTCCCCGGAGGAGGGTGACCAAGGACCACATGGCTGCGGGCCTGAGGCCAAGGGAAGGGCTTGCTCCAGGGGTGCCTTGGGAGGTGAGAATGAGAGGCCTTGTCCCACCTCCGGAGCAGGACTCTTCCAAGCCCTGGCTGCTCGGGAGGGAGTGGCTGGTGCCAGGACGGGGGGCTGTCGGCAGCCTGGGAGCCACCTGCGAGGACTCACTGAGGGGCTCAGCTCTGGGGCTGCGGCTGGACAAAGCAACCTCCGAGGCCTCCCACCCACAGAATCCTGTAAAGTCAGGCCAAAGTCCAGGCCTGATCGCCATTCCCAAGAAGGCAGAGCCAGGTGGACACGCTGCAGATGGGAAGAGAGACCAGCTGGGGGTGAAGACCTGCTGTAGGGAGGGGTTCCCATCTCTGTGCCACTGGCCCCGCCTGTCCTCTGGGTCCACTCCCTCAGGCAATGGCAGCCCCCCCAGGGATGTCCCACCCTCCTTAGGCAAAGCCAAGCTGCCTCTGCCCCCTTCCCCAGTGTCTGAGTCTGCTGTGCTCAGCTCCCCCCTCCCCCCATCACAGCCAGCTGTGGGTGTTCCTATAACCAATCAGTCACCTCCTGCCCTGCCCTACTGCCCTCCTCACCTGGCAGCTCTGCCCCTGCGGAGGTGTCGTGGGGGTGGCAGGCTCACTGCCACGTGGGGGCATGGGCACCATGCCACAGTGGGCCGACACTGGGGTAGGTTGAGTCAGTTGTGGAGTCTTGGGTGAGGGCGGTACATTGCGAATCAGACCTTCCAGGTCTGTTTCCTGACAGTCAGAGCTTGCGTGTCAATTGATTTCCTCTGCTCTTTTCTCTCTATAGAAAATGGTTCCAGGTACTCCTACCCTGACCAATCTTTTAAAATAGAATAAAACACAAACCAGGGATCTTAAAATGTGCTCAGAGATGTGAGGGGTGGGGAGCCAGGGGCACCTCGACAACCTGCCTACCTCTCACCTGGAGACGCTTCCCTGTCTGGGGCTTCACCTCCAGCTTCAGACCAGAGGGACAGTGACACACCCCTTCCTGTCCCTACTCCCAGCCCCACCACCACCACCAAGAGGAAGCCTGGCCATGCTGCCCAGGCAGAGAGAAGGAAGGCCACAGAGCTCCGTGTCCAGGCTGCTGGGCCACCCTGGAGGTCAGCATTGCCACAGCACATCTAGCTCTGCAGAACACGGGGCAATGCAGCTGAGTGTGATACCAAACCAAGAAGGACCCTGGGGCTCCGAGAGATACTGAGTGTCTCTTCCTACTAAAGCAAGAGTCCCTGGAGCAAGATTTGGCTTTAGGGACAGAAGTAAACAGTCCTATAATCGCAGTAATGACTGCTTCTATCATGGAGCTCCTACTATGCGCCAGGCAGCGATGTGCGGGGCTTCGCTCTGACATCATCTCTAATCTCCTCAACAACCCTAGGAGGTAGCTATTATTGTTGCTATTTTTAGGGAAAGAAATTGAGGCTCAGGGTGATTAATCATCTTGCTCAAGGTCACACAGGAAGTGATGAAGCTGGGTTCTGACCTGCAGTCTGCTGGTCTCTAAAGGTTGGGCTGTTGCTGCTCAGAGTCTCCGTGATGAGGGGTTGAGGGGTCCCTTCCACTCGGTCCTTCATTATTCTCTGGCCCCTGAGCACCTACTCTGTGCCAGGCCCAGTGCTGAGGCTCAGGAGACACAAAGATGACTAAAGTGACCTTTGTCCATAAGGTCACCTTCCTGGAGGAGAAACAAACACGGTCCAGTCTGGACAGCAGAAGGGATGGGCACACCAGTGGGTGACAACTGAAGATAGCAGAAGGGGCCAGGCTGCCCCTGGACTCTGCCCTTGAGCAGAAATTTCTTAAGCTCCCAAATGTCACTCTGTGTCAACAGAGTTGGAGAAAGAGAAAGGAGGGAGGAATACTAACACAGCTGAGCACCCACCTACCATCTGTCTGGTGTATTGCACATAGTATCTCATTTCATCTTCCAGCAACCCTGAGAGGTTGGTACTATTACTGTCACTTCATAGACAAGGACAGTCAAACCTAAAGAGGTTAAGAAACAGCCAAGGTCACCACATGCTACCTGCTGGACGGAATGTCCTGGCTTTGAGTCTGGGCTCTCTCTAGACCATCAACTGTCTTCCCAGGAATGTGTGGATATATAAGAAAAGGAAGTGTGGACACCCCTAAGCCTAAGTGCAGGGAAAAAGGAGCCAAAGACCCACAAGGGAGACCACCAATGCCAGGTGTGCTTGTTCCTGCCAAAGTCGCAGCCAAGGCTGTCTTTTAAATGTTCCAAACCTGGAGAAAGGGCGGATGGCAGTGCAGGAAGGAAGAGGGAGCTGCTCGGGCATCCAGAGTGGGTGAGGACATTCCAAACCCACAGGAGCTCCGAAATGAACTCCCAGCATCCGCCCCCAGACATACCCTGACCTCCTCCCTACAGTCCCAGTTTTCCAAAGTAATGATCTTGGTCAGGTAAGAAACTCACCCTGTGCTCACCGCCTCAGCTGGGCTGGGCCAGTCCAGCCGGCTCCTGCCCAGCCCCCTCCCGCCCCTCCACCTCTCCATCTGCGGGCACTCCAGGTAACAGGCCCGGGCAACTCCCCCTCCCCACGCGCAGCGGGTGAGTTGCGGAAGGAGACCAGGAGAACTGGAAGGACTTGCGTGCCTTTTGCCAGCGGCACAAACGAGCCTGCCAGCGGTAATAACAGGGCAAAGGAGCGGACCCACCTGGGACTCGGGGGCGCAAGGGCAGGCTGGCCGCCAGCGCACCCTGCCAGTGCACCTTGCTCAGAAGCCATGGGTAGCGGGGCCTCGGCTTCTCTACGTCCTGGCCAGGAAAGTACCTTCTGCCCACCCCCAACAAGAGGCCTGCCCTGTAATACTAACGCTCCTTACACGTTTGTGCTACCCCTCATCTTCCCTCTAAGAGGTTCATGTCAGGGTGTTCCGAAGAAGCACTATGCAGGGACCTCTGGGAGTCTGCCGTCACCCCACCCCCCAGGCACCCCACCCCCCAGGCACAGCGCTGTGCCGGAAGGAGGTGACAGTTCTGGAAGTAGGGGCAGAAGGATGGGCAGTGGGCCTTACAGAGCGGGGCACCACGGGGGAGGAATGGCCTTCCCTCGGAGTCCAGGAGCCCTCTACTAAGTTTACTTTGATTGGGATTTGATATTTCAACCAAGATGCAGGGACTAGGGGGAATTCGCCAAAGAGAAAGGAGGGGAGAGAGAGGTGGCACCCACCGTCTGGCTGGGAGAGTCAGGAAAGACCAACATGGACACAAATGCGAGGAGGTTCCCAAAAAGTCCTTGGCAGATAGTTTTTTAACCTTAATATAAAGAGTTCTTACATATCCATAAGAAAAATAAAATATACACCATGGAAAACTCTCAAATAGCATGGATGAACCATTCATAAAAGAGCTTCAAATGATAAGAATCATATAAAAAATTCATCATTCAAAATAAAAAAGATGAAATGGAAATTAGACATACTACCTATAAACATCTATAATATTGAAAAAGCAGGAACAATCTAAATACTTAACTATACAGTACATTAAAAAAT